TGTTCAAACAAAATACCTTTCCTAGCAAAAGATAACAAAATTATAACCGACCGAAATGAAATTGCTGAACTATTCGCCAGTGAATTTGAGACCAATTCAAGTAACGATAACTATCCACCGGACTTTAAGCTTAAGAAAGAAAGCGCAGAGAAAACAAAGTTAGAGTACCACTCTCACGAGTATAATATACTTAATGTACCGATTACAATGCAAGAACTCAAGGATGCCCTAATGTCAAGTAAAAATTCCGCTCCAGGTCCAGACGGTATACCATTAATTTGTTTGTTAAACCTACCAGAAAATGGAAGGTCTTGGCTATTAAAATTGTACAATTTTATTTGGACAAATCAGGTTTTTCCATCTGTATGGTCAGACAGCATTATAATTCCTCTGATCAAACCCAACAAAGACAGAACAAATATAGACTCGTATCGTCCCATATCACTCACTAATGTAGCATGCAAAGTTCTAGAAAAAATTATAAACAAAAGACTGATGTGGTACTTAGAACAAGAAAAACTTTTAATTCCTCAGCAAAGCGGCTTCCGTCAAAATAGATCATGCGTAGACAACTTAGTAGATTTAGAGTCAGAGATACACGAAGGTTTTGCAAATAATCAAGAGACCATCGCAGTATTCTTCGATATCACTAAGGCATACGACACGGTTTGGAGATTTATTATTATATCAAAATTACACAAATGGGGAATCAGGGGTAATATGCTAAGATTCATAGAAAACTTTCTTCAGTCAAGAGCTTTCTCTGTTCGCGCCGATAATTCCACTTCATCAAAAAAAAATTCAGAAAAACGGAACACCTCAGGGGTCAGTTATGAGCCCAACTCTTTTTCTCGTGGCTATCAACGATATACTGGATCACTGCTCCCCGCTAGTTAAGGGAAGACTATATGCCGACGATCTGGTTCTATTTGCAAAGGGCAAGAATATGAGAATGATTCAAAAACACCTACAAGAATCTATTTATAAATTAGAGATATGGTCAATGTCAGTAGGCGTGCAATTCTCCCCACTAAAAACAAAATGCATGCTTTTCTCAAGAAGACACCGGCCACAGAGAACATCTTTAAAACTGTATGGCGAGCCGCTCAAATTCTCAGAAAAAATTCATTTTCTCGGAATGGTATTTGACCAAAAACTAACATGGAAACAACATATTTTAGAAATAAAAAAGTCTTGCCAAAATGGATTAAATGTAATGAAAACATTATCAAATAAAAAATGGGGATCCGACGAAACCACGTTATTAAATATTTATAAGTCACTCGTTAGATCAAAAATAGATTATGGGGCTATTGTGTATGCCTCCGCTAAAAAACATGTTACCAAGCAACTTGAAGTAATTCAGAACACAGCACTTCGCATTGCCATAGGTGCATTTAGAACCACACCAGTTAAGAATCTCCAATGCCTCACAGGAGAGCCACCTCTTAATCTACGAAGAAATTATTTATGCCTTTCGTATGCAGCATCAGTCGCTAGCAACAAATTCCACCCAGTATTTCAAAATGCATTTACAGACCGTTACCTAGAAGCTTATAACACAAGTAGGTTCGATCCACCATTCTACGAAAGAGTTCGAAGAAATTTAAAAGATCTACAACTCCAAATTTCTGACCTCTTTCCTTCAAATGTAAAAACTCCACCTCCCTGGTTAATCATGATTCCCGAAATCAATACGACGCTACTCCAATATAACAAATCAGATACATCACCCACTGTAATCCGACAGTCATGTTTAAAGGAACTCGAGACTTACGGGAAAAGCTTTTACATTTATACAGATGCCTCCAAATCTGCAAATGACGTAGGAGCAGCATTTGTCACTCCATATTCCTCTTCCCAATTTAAATTAATGCCAGCCACTTCTATATACACAGCAGAATTATATGCAATATTACAAGCCCTCATTCATATCAAAAGTACAAACCATTCTTCTTCCGTCATTATCACAGATTCTCTAAACTCCTTAACAACAATCGGTCAACTATATACTAAGAACCCTATAGCCTTACTTGTCAAGAAAGAACTTGCTGCCTTACAAGAATCTGGTTCAGAAGTCAAATTTATGTGGGTTCCATCTCACACGGGAATACAAGGTAATGAAAACGCAGACCTCCAAGCAAGAGAAGCTACCAAAAATGATCAAGCTATAATAGTGTCAAAGACTATCTGCAGTGATATAAAACAGTTCGTTAAAGAAAAAGTGATTAGTGCGTGGCAAAATAAGTGGAACTTATCGGAATCTAAATTAAAAGAAATTAAATCGACAGTGAAACCGTGGCGCCTAGTGAACTTAAAAAGAGCTGACCAAGTCAAAATTTCTCGACTTCGATTAGGTCATACCAATATTACTCATAAGCACCTAATAAGTAAAGAAGACATTCCAGTGTGTGATTACTGTCAAGTCAATATTACTGTTAAACATCTTCTAACAGAATGTGGAAAATATACAGTTGACAGACAAAATAACAATATTTCCAGTGACTTGAAAACAGTATTAGGTGAACATTTAAATACTAAAAACTTAATTAGATTTCTAAAAGAAACATCTTTATATAATTTAATATAATGTAACTAATATAAACTAATGTCGCTAATGACCCAGGTGGTTGAAGCGACTATTATTAGTAAATAAAAAAAAACCTTTTAAAGTCATAAGGAGACACGCAGAGAGTGATCTATTCATTAACCACCCTGTATCCTAAAATAAGTTAATTAAAACTATAACATGCAATATATCAAAGTTCAGGGAATTTTGTGCATAATCCAAAAATTTTATAATATAACCAATGTTTCATTTAAAATAAGAAAGTTGGTATAATATTAATTGATATATAACATCAGTCAACATCCTGTATATAAAAAAACAAATTTTTATTGGAAAAAATGCGCAAAAATTATTTTTTAAAATACTTTTTAAAACTATTTTGAAAAACCTTTAATTTTGATTTGCTATTATTTACTAATAGTTTTAGAGTTATTCTTATAATTTAAATATTATTAAATTTATCAAACGGGTTAAATAGATGGATTGAAATAATTATATTATTAATTTATAAAAACCAACAATACACATAAACCTCATTGTCACAATTAGATGTGGATACAAATGAACTTCGCAAGTCTTCACAGAATAGTGGGTCGGGCTCTAGACACTAGTGACAATTCCTACCTCCTCTATATATTGGTTGACGATTCTAGCACGGTAAGGACGCGCGTTGTCGTCCCTAAAAATAAAATTAGGCAAATTCCTAAGTCCCATCTTCCATTGGACGTCCGTCCAATGAAAGAAACGGTACCACATGCTTATCTAAAATACTTGTTATGTATCTTGCAGCAGTCACAGAACCTCTATCTATAATAACTAAATCAATATGGGTATCCGAACTGATACGAGCCCAAACCATAACGGAGCCCCCCCCCCGATAACTTATTCTTTCCGCAATATTACATTGAAAATATGGCTCTCCGTGTCTTCTCCAAACCCTTTCTCGGCCGTCTGGTGACCTTGACAAAATCTGAACTCATCTCAGAACAATAAATTGCTCCAATCTGCATCACTCCAGTGTTTATGTTCTCTTGTAAAAGCAAGGCGAGCTCTGCGATGTTTTATGGATAGTATTGGAGATAGCGCCGGCCTTCTGGATAATAAATTACCTTCTACAAGTCGTCGACGAACTGTCCATCTGCTTACATCCACATTTCTCACTTCGCTCAGACGATTTGTCAGTTCAACTGAAGTTAGATACCGATTTCTCAAACATGATGAGACCAGTAATCGATCATCTCATTCGGATGTTACCCTTCTACGACCTGATCCTGGTCTTCTTGTAAAATTACCGGTGTCGCTAAAACGCCGAACTGCTCTTTGAACCGAGATTCGAATAACACCCAACATTTTAGCAGCAGAATAGTGGCTACGACCATCTTGAACTAAAGTCACCACTTTTGCAGCATCTGTCGGAGATAGAGACATTTAGGAAGGATAATTAAATAAAAATATAACACGTTTTGAAAATAAAATGACTACATTAGTATGGTTGTTGAATTAAAAACAACATTCAATAAATATCTACTTGCTTCAGATCCTTTTTGACAAAAACCTGAAATACCAATTTGTTTTAGGAAATATAAAAAGCAATATTAAAAATATTATTTTATTTCTCGTATGCGAGGGTACACCTAACTTTACATACGTAATTTATGCCTGGTTGCACCAATAGATCTTAAGCTCCAGCTTAGCCAAGCTCTGCTTATAGCTAGGGCTGCCTTAACTCTCACTTACGTTGCACCATAATTTTCGATTCTAAAATATTCTTTATATACTTAAAAATAAAAATACAAAATTTGGTTGATCGCCGTCGGACGGTTTGGTCGTGGTCGGTCGATCAGTCTGAGCTGAGGCCTACCTAAGGCACGTCTTAAGCTTAAGATATGTTGGTGCAGCCAGGCATTAATGTCTCTAAAATTATACAACTTCAAAAAATAAGAAATAAAGAATGGATCGATTTTTTTGCACCTGAGTGTATATAGACATGAGGTGTTCACAACATCCCGCGCGAGTAACGGAGTATTAAAAATACTAAAGGCTAGTACACGTAGAATATGCAACAGAGTCAAATTTAAGACAACTGGAATACTACAAAAGGCTCTAATAAATATAATACTAAATTCAAGTAATCTTGCAGGTCAATATGTAAATGTGAACGAAAAATATGGAACACATTATTTTATTGTAATAAATTTGCATGCATGTCGTCACATTTTCCAGACAGTTATCTTAGTCATCATAAAATGTAAAAAAAATATTTTCTTTTTTCTGTTGACCTCTGATTAGCATCGATTGCTTTATACTGACCAACATGTTACTACTTTCCCAGCAGTGGTAGTTATTGAGGGAGGCGACTGTAGTATACCAAACAGCTAGGCCTACAGTGGTTTTTATTTACTTACTTAAATTATTTATTTTTTTCTTTTAGATGGCCACTGATGGTACCTACACTGCTCCAGTGGTTGGAACTGCTAAGCTTCATGCAAAAACCCAAACTGAACCTGTTTATTTATATCTTATGACTCTAGACGCCGGACTAAATTTCCTTAAACGTGCCAACGGTTTCAGTAATATACCAGGTAATAAAAAATATATGCACAGCTGTTTTGCATATCCTTTACGATATATAATATAATAAATCAAACAAATTATATAAGTTAGAAACATATTTTCTAGAATATGTTTAGAGCTAGAATTTCATTATGTCTGCTATTTGTTGATTATACTAGAATTTTAATGGAGTTAGCTTTTAATACTAAGGATCTAACACCTTCTACTGCATCTTTCATTTCTATAGCCACTTCTTTTTGTTTGTCCAAGAATCTTTGAATCAGGATTCTTTGATTGGCTGGTCTTTCATTATAGCCATAATTCTGTTACTCTATGCAGTTGCTGAACTTCCTCATTTCCTTCTATTTAATGGAGTGTAGTCAGAAGCTTATTTTGGTCATCTATGCTTTTCTTGCGTCTCATGTACCCATACCATATCAATTGTTTTGTCTCTATTCTTTTAGTTGTTCTATTTGAATTGAACAAGGGAAAAACCCCGTCAGCCAAAAAAGGAATTTTAGAGACAACAATCATTGTTGGGAATTTACCTTTATTAAACAGCCAGCAATTGACGGATTTGTAGTTTACTACTTTTATTTGCGTAAAAATAACTCAAATTCCTACAATATATAAAATTAACAATATAAAAAACTAATTAATTCCCATTACTTACTGTTCTCTTGCTGTCTGCTAAATTATTAAATTATTTAAATTTTTTCCTAATCGGTGACAGTTTGTTTTCTGACGTTTTGATATATATTTGACATAGTTTATGGAACAGTAGCAACGGGAAATTTTGGGTAACATGATAGAACTAAAAATTAACTAAATACATTTTATACAAATAATAAATATTCGTAACAACCATTTTATTGTTTTTTTTTTAACTCTGGAGGCTAAAAAAATAAACAATAAACATATAAAAAAACGTTTTAATTGATTTTTTGACAATTTTGTTAATATTTTTGCAGTAAAAAACTGAGTAAAACCTTACAAACCAATAAAAAACCGGTCTGAAGTCAATGTTCTCCATAATCAATTAGGGGGTCGTCAGCGTATTCGTCATCATTTTCTTTCTGTTGAACAGCGTCAGTAGTTAAATTTTGATAAAAAAGCATTACTTCGGGGTTTTCGAAACACTGTGATAAATGAAGAAGGTCGCGTTATTTTGCAGCTGGTATTGGAAGTTCTCCATTGTACAAATTTTGTAACGGGGTAATTACTGCTATGGCTGCGCCATGATTTTTCTTTGATTTTTTGCAAGGAGGTTTTTTTTTCAAGGACTAAGGATGCATAACGTTCAAAAAAAGTAGGTTTATAGAACACAAGTCGTCCTTCACTTACCGAAATTTTTAACGTGCAAATTGATCTCGTGGGAAATGGGCATTTTCGGGTATAAAGTGATGATAGTTAAGCAGTTCAATTTTGAAAAACCACATCTACTTCGTAATTAATCACTGTAAATGGAGAGGGTTTTACCCGAGTATTCCTTGCCTTCTTCCAGTCTTCTGGAACCTCTGTATGGGATTTTTGTTTAACAATGTTTAATATTTTATTGTAAATATCAACTTAACTGTTTTAAAATGTTCATCTTTTGTTACCAGATGATGTAAAATCGGATAAATGTATAATTTTTATTTTAACCCGCACATGAGTCGAAAAATATACAAAGTTCTTGCACTTCAAGGAGCAAAATTTTAAAAACAAAATGCCGAAACACGGAGCATACATCATCCGAGATCCTTTTTTGCCACAGACTCATCATACGTATAAAAAAATTGCTTGCTGCGTTGAAAGTACATAAATATTGAAACTAACAAAATTCAGTTGGCGCCGATAGTAGACATCATTAATCGTAATGTTAGGGCACAGCAGGTTTATTTTTAAAGTCCATGGTGACAGATTCCTTTGTGACTAATTTCATAGAACGTTTTTGGTAAATATTTTTTAAAGTATAAAAATTCTCACCTCTCTTAAGATGCATCTCTCTTTCTGTTTGTTTTGTTTGCAGATTTTGACTTGGTCTAACTGGTAAGCTGGTTTTGTATGTTTTCAATAAAATTGATAGTGTGTAAAATAGTTTAATAATTAAGCTAAGTATACTTTCGACATAATAAATGTCATCATCAGAGCTATCGTCAATTAGGTAATAAATACTTCATAGAAGGACAATTGTGCACAAACGACATATTAAAATTCAAAGATCGGGCTCTGTAGGCCACAGATCTTGGGTCTAACCCTTATACATATGTATAATTCACATTTAAAAAGTTTTTATAAAAACATGGTTACCACATACAGTAACGACAACAGCTGTCTTTGACTTACATTTTTGAAGTACAGTAAGTTTGACTTACATATGTATAAGGGTTAGACCCAAGATCTGTGGCCTACAGAGCCCGATCTTTGAATTTTAATATGTCGTTTGTGCACAATTGTCCTTCTATGAAGTATTTATTACCTAATTGACGATAGCTCTGATGATGACATTTATTATGTCGAAAGTATACTTAGCTTAATTATTAAACTATTTTACACACTATCAATTTTATTGAAAACATACAAAACCAGCTTACCAGTTAGACCTATTTAGAAGTGTGTACAAGTCTTACAGTCTTTTTCAATAGATTTTGACTTGTTTCTACTTTGTCAGTGGCAGTTTAAAGCTGATTCTCAAGCACTGAAATTTGTGATTTTAAGGAAAAACATGTACTACAAGAGTCCTTACGTGGATAACCAAAGGAAAGGTTGAAGTTGTTTTTAAAAATCGCAAGAATTGATTCATACGGAATTTTATGTTCTGGATAGTTAGTTAAGTACATGGAGTACGCCAGGGGGACACCATATCGCCGAAACTGTTCACTACGCTTTTGGAATATATATGTAAAAGGGCAAAACTGACAACCGACCGACAAGGGCATAAACATAAACGGAGAAAAGCTTAGCCATCTAAAGTTTGCAGATGATATTGTACTAATAGCTGATAGGATAGATGAGGCCAAAGAACTTTTAAATCAGCTCTACCTTTCCTCGCTAGAAGGGGGATTGAAAATAAATATATCTAAAACCCAGATGATGACAAATCTTGTAGTCAGCGAAGATATATGCGTAGAAACAAGATCCATAGACCAGGTAATGGCCTATAAATACCAATGTCATGAGATCCGCATAGAAAAATATAACCAAACCGTTGACCTTCTCCGTCGTATAGGACTGACTTGGGCAGCCTTCGGCAAGCTAAACCATATTTTCAAATCGTCTGATATACCAATATAAATTAAAAGAAAAACTTTTGTGTGTTTTGCCAGTGTTGATTTACGGTGCGGAAACGTTGACCATGACAAGGAGGACAGTTCAAAAGATCCGTGTGTGTCAAAGGGTGATGGAGCGTGATATGTTAGGCGTTTCACTATGAGACAGAATCCCGAATCGCCAGCTACGACAAAGAACAGCAGTGGCTAATTCAGTAGAGAGAGTAGCAACACTGAAATGGAACTGGGCAGGTCACGTGGCTCGAATGACAGATAATAGATGGACAAAGCGGATACTGGAATGGAGACCAAGAGATGATGCCTACCGAAGCAGAGGTCATCCACCAACACGTTGGACTGACGATCTAAAACGTTGTTATAGGAATTGGATGCAAGAGGCACAAGATCGAAAAAGATGGAAAATTATGAGGGAGATCTATGTCTTGCAGTGGATATGCGAAGATTGGATGATGATGATAATGATGTAGCTTTGATTTATTTAACTCAGCAAGAAGGTAAATTGTGTTGGTGTCTTTTAAAGAATAGTGTGATTTTCTGCCTTGAAGAGATTTTAAATAAGTAAATACGTTTTGTTTGGTTTTTTGTGAAAGTTTGCGGTGTCTCGGTTAAATGTTTTCCACGACAGTCAGTGGGAGATTTACCAGCACAAAGCAGAGCACCCCTTATGTACCTAACCTTATCCTCACTCATATCATAAAGCGATATGAACGCTTTTAAGTAAACCTGAACATCACATACAACATTGTCTTTTAACAAACGAACTCTACATGAAAATAAAGCTGCATTATATCTAGGATCAACATTTCGAGGTCATCTTTGAACTACAGGCACCACTGTAATGAGACCTCTCAAATAAGAGTTCTGCTTTTCTCTTTCTCCCAGCAGATTATACTCTCGTATGAGTCGTCTTCGTCCCTTTTCTGGTATATTCTGAAAGCATTTAAGTCTTTTGCACAAACAATCCGGCAAAAGCTCATGAGGCGCTGCTGCTCGCAAATCTCTCATAACATCCCTAACTCGACCTGTTCTTTTTCGTTTCCTACTCATTGGTTTTCTGAACGAGTCATCAGTTTCACTGCAACTGTCTGAGTAGTCACTTTCCATTATGCTTAATGGAAATCACTGCTACACAAAAAACTGACAAATAACATGCTCTAGACAATACAAAGAAACAGCTTTGTTACTAAACAACAACAAACAAACTGACATGTGAAACTGAAACTACTTATCAGAAATAGTAAACCAATAGGAGAATCATGGGTCGTAAATATAATTTATTTCTCAGTGACATTCCGTCGTCAAGTTAGCTGGCGTTTGTTGTAACAGACTAACAAGTTTACAACACAAAATCCCGGTAACGGATTACTACAATATTATTTGACTCACATGGTTCTTCCATATACGCGCATTGACTGACGGGGTTTTTCCCCAGTGCCGCATATTTTCTAACGTGGATTTTAGTAGATCGACGGTGTCTCGTACAAAGGCCAATAAATATTTAAAATATATTCGTTTGAAGTCACTGGATAGCGTCATTAACCCATTTCTTAAAAAAAATGACTAACGGGGTTTTTCCCCTGTGTCCTTCATTTATTAAATTCGTGCTTAGTTTAATTTTATTATTCGGTACGTGCTCTAGTTTAGATATTCGACACGCTCTTCGAAGAAAATTAATTTTCACTGCATCCAGTTGTTTCTTTGTTTTTCCGTCCTTTGACAGCATTTTGATTCGTATTTAAAATATTGGCTCTACAAAGGCTTTGTATATTTTAGTTTTATTTTAAAGGAAATTCGATTGAATCAAACTAAAAAATTCATATATATTCTTTTTGGTCCCTGTTAAACTTTATGTCGCATATCCCACTTAAGATATAAAAGATGAACGTTTGCCAGATATATTTCTGTCTAAAAATTATATTCTTTGCATTGTCTTATTTGCTCTAATTAAAACTCTAGATTTTCGTTTTCCCCTATTCGTAAGTATTATATATTGGTTGCATTCATTTTCATTACTACCTGTTTGTACTCATCTTTTAGTTTACTTAATGTGTAATAAATATCTTTTTCACAGTTTGCTTGATCGTCAGCGAAGAATAGTGTCCGTCAGATAGCTTTTGCCGACTTTGATTTCCATATAGACAACAGATCTGTTTAAGACCATTTTTTGTTTAAAATGCACCTAAAAAATAATTTTTTGGCATTCCTCTTCCTTCTCGTCAGTTCCCCTTACCTAATCTCTTTCGTATTCAGGCCAGGTTTTCGTCTTCCTCCTCTATATTAAGTGCCTGGTTAAAGTATTTTACCCATGTATTCAGTATATCTTTCCCTGTTGTTAAAAAGTCGCCATTCTGACTTCTGCATTGTCTTGTATTTTCCTTAAATTATTTTCAGTTGATGTTAACTTTATTATAGAATGCGTTGAATTCTCTCTCTATGTTGAGGTTTTCTATATATATTTAAGTTCCTTATTTAAGTGGTTCCTTTTTTTGTGTAGCTTCTTTTCTTCTATTTTCTTAGTTTGGTAATTCCCATAGTTGTTCTAGGTTTTCAGGTAAGCATCTTTCTGTAGGCTTTATTTTTTTTTTCTTTCACGGTCAAACCAATGTTTTTTACGAGCACAAATTTTTGTTTCTATTTTATCATTCGCTGCTGGTTTAATATCTATAATTTCTAGTAAACCAACTAATCAGTGCCGGCAGCGATCTGGGCTGAAAATTAACATAACTAAAAATAAGGTCATGAGAGTATCACCAATAAGATTTTCATAGACCTAACTCTTCTACGAGAAAGCCAATATAATAGGTGACAAAATAAAAATACTTGAACTAGGTACTGAGTAAAAAAGCTAGATACAGACATATAACTAAAAATAATGTTAGAAATGACAAGAGTTACTTTCCTTACAATGAAGATTTTGCTAAGTGATAGCAACCTTACAATAACCACCAAGCGCAGATTTGTCAAATACTGCATATTCTTGTTTTGTTGTATGGGGCTAAGACCATAAAAATTGGTACACTAAATTGCATAAAGGCCTTTTAAATACTTATATATCGACCTATGCTTTGAATATATTGAGAATAACATAAAACGAAGGCGAAATTTAAAAAGCATTTAAAAAACATAGAACTTTTAAATATTAATCAAGATCAGAAATGCCGCGATTAACCGTATTAAGCTATGGACTTCTAAAATCATGGAAAGTTTGAGAAAGTTAATATATGCAGATTCTGTTGTTAAGTGTATATCGAAAACAAGTTAAATATTAATTTAATGAATGCCGGTGAACTTGAACGGTAGAAAAAAATTAAATTGTGTGAATAAAAAGTAATTTAGTAAAGCAGTAGAGGTTCCATGTATGCTGATTCGTAGCAGTGCTGAAGTTAATGTTAACAGTATGTGTAAATAATAATATATTATATATATTATAAATAATAATAATAAATTATCATTACATCCGGAGAAGCTCAAGCTAGGAGAATTTAATATCCAATAGGAGATAGTAGTTTTGGTTAGGACGTGAGATCGATATTCGTTTTTGCGAGCAGAACTATTTTATAGTTGCTACCAATTTTAAATTTATATAGAATTTATAATTTGTGTACTACTTCTTTTGTATATTATAGACAATAAGGTCCACTTCTTTTAGAACAGCCTGCTGTTCTCTGTAGTTAAATCTAACTTTTAGACTTGTTGGTTATCTTCTCTTTTGATCTCGGTTAGATCAATGACCTCTTATTTGATGTTTTCCGGTTATTTTTCAATTTATGGTAAGTTCTGATAGAATAACAGAGCTATTGCGTTTAAAGAAGCAATTTAACTTCTGTATTGGACGTCTCTTCTAATCCAAGGTCATTCCTACCCTCTGTTTATAATCTGTCTTAATTCCTACGATAGTTAGATATCTCTGAGATTCCGAAGACTGGGAACTGCTTGTCCTTTTGTTTTTCCCAATTGAAATTTTGGGTTTTTTTTAGCCATATTCTTTTTAAACTGGTCAGTGTAGACGTTATACTATTTATTAGAAACTTATTACACTGTTGTTTTAGGTACATGCCACGGTGATGATCTGGGATATTTGTTTCAAATGCCGCTTGAGGCCCTAAATATGTACAGAGGAGAAAAAGAACTAAAAGCAATTAGAATATTTGTTAAACTGTGGACCAATTTTGCTAAATACGGCAATCCAACTCCTCAGGGAAACGATATGAATATAACCTGGAATCCAGTTAATCAAGAAGAAGTAAATTACTTGGATATTGGAGAAGAATTAACGATGAGGAGCAATCCTGAGCCGGAGAGGTTAAAATTGTGGAAGGAAATATTTCAACTGAGCCCATATACGCAATATTACGTGCAATAAAATATATTTGTCTTAAATTTATAAATATTAAAATAACTTTAATAAAAGATATGCCTATTGTTTTATAACATTTTTAGCGGTTTTTATATTTTTATATTATAGCTACCAGTGTACCGTACGGTAGACTTCTACAGTAGACCAGATACTTTTAAGTTCTCAACCGTACAAGTTTCCAACGAACTAATGACGCTAATGCCCCTATAATTATCTATACTTTGCTGTCTACTTTTTTAGTATTTCTTAGTAGTTTCTAACAGTATGTCTGCTCCCTGTTCAACTATTTTAATAAAACTATCTCCAAGACCTGAATCTTTACCGTTCTTAATTTCTCTTAATTCTTTGTTATTTTTAGTTTTTACCGATTAACTGTAATTCCTTTTCGTTAATAATGTTAACTAATATCTATATCAAAAGTCTATATCTCCTATTTCTTTGATTTATTTTTTTATACTTTTGAATCATTTTTAAACAGCCATATTACTGCCACCTACATATTTCTCTACATCATCACGTTACCGTTCCCATAGTTCGTTTTTCGTACCATTACTTTGGTTTCTCTTAAGTATTAAGTAGGTTTTTCTGTATTCTGAGCATTTAGTTCTCAAGCAACTTATATATTCTATTTTATTTTGACTTGTTTTTTATCTTATCCATGATTAATTCGGAATTTTCTTTTCTTCTTTCTACAGAGACACTTTCGTGTCAATATTCTAAAGCAGGGTTGACCAACTGGCGGCCCGGCCCGCGAGGCTATTTGTTGTGACCCACGTAAGATTTTCGAAAAGCATATATTTTCTTTAAATGCTGCCACTGTAAAAAAAGATTTTTTAATTTATTTTATGGTTTAGCCGTGTTATTACATCACAAGTACTGTACCGTGTGCCGCTGTGCGGGCGTGTAACGAACACAATCGTCCTCCACCACTATGAGAACTGCACTGATTACTTCGCATTATAGTTCACGCAGGCCACACCTCCCACTGCTTACTATCCTTCGCCAGCCGCCATCGTCCCACTGTGCTACTGACACCTGGGCTAGTCGGCTAATCTTTTACGTTGCTAGTGAACAGTGAACTTGATTAATTCTTTGTCTTGATTCCTCTTATACAATAGTGAGTGTAAAACCAGTAAAACGGAAAATTGATAGTGAGAACAGAATTTACAAAGAAAGTTGGGAGAGTGATTACTTGATTGCTAACAATAATGGTAAGTTGCAGTGCTTAGTGTGCATGAATGTCGTTTCAGTACCTAAAGAATATAATGTGAGAAGACATTACACAACAGTGCATGAAAATAAGTATGCTACGTACACAAATGAAAGTCGGCGGCCCTCGTTGCAGATTTGAATAAAAAGCTTAAACAGCAAACTGGTATGTTCAGTAAAATATTACACTCTCAAACGCATTCTTTGCATGTATCTTATGCCGTGTAGCTTGAACTGGCAAAGGCAAAAAAAACCTTTCACTGATGGCAATTTGATAAAAAAATGTGCTCTTGAAATGGCCAAAGCTTGCAGTGATTCTAACATGGCGGAGAAATTTGAATCAGTGCCACTTTTACATCAAACCATACAAAGAAGGATTGTTGCTATGGGTGAGCAAGTAGAAAAATCTATGCTTAGCCTGGTTAAGAAAAGTTCATATTTCTCACTTTGTTTAGATGAAAGCACTGACCAAACCGATGTTAGTCAGCTGTTAATATCTGTGCGCACTACTTTTGATGATTTTACCAGTTAAAAGGAGTTATTTGATATTTGTCCTCTTTATGGAACAACAAAAGGAAAAGACATCTATGAGGCTGTGAAGAAAACAGTTGACAGAATTGGAGGCATTGATAAATGTTTAGCTATAGCAACAGACGAGGCCCCATCAATGACAGGTAAAAAATTGGATTAGTGGGTCTACTTCGAGAGAATGGTGTCACTTGCCCAACAATTCATTGTATTATACATCAGGGAGCTTTGTGGAAAATCAGTCAAGGAAGATCAAGTTTTTCAAACCGTGATTAAGATTATAAATATGATTAGAGGTGAAAATCTATCAGTTTTTAGTGGAAACAGAGGCTGAGTATGGAGACTTGCCAATGTACAACCATGTAAGGCGGCTGAGTGCAGGAAAGTGCATGGAACGATTTTTTGCCATAAGAAAAAAAATCCCTGCATTCCTCAACAAATACGTTTTATCTGACACAACTGAACTGAAAGAGAAGTTTAAGGATCCAGAATTTCTAAGACAGTTAGCTTTTATAACAGGTCTGACTAATCATCTTAACATGTTAAACTTGAGTCTTCAAGGAAGAAACCAGAAAGTTTTAGATTTGATCGGAATAATAAACGGATTCCGGAATAAGCTAAATGTGTTTAAACGTGTTTTGGAAAAGAACAACCAGACACACTTCCCAAGCTGTCTGCAAATAGCAGAAGAATTCAATGGTGAGAAAAATATTGAGTTTTCATCCTGCATTTCACAAATTGAACAAGTTATTGATGAGGTCAATACAAGATTTGAAGAAATTGAAAGTCTCAAAAGCAGTGTACTACTTTATAATAACGCTCTTGGAGTAACCATTGATGATCAACCACCCAACTTACAGCTTGAGTTATGTAATCTTCAAGCAGACATGTTCCTAATCACCAGACAAGAAAGGGACCTGAATTTTTTAAATTACTGTCAAAGGAGAAATTCCCAGACCTGCGAGATTTTGGACTGAAAATGACGTCAATGTTGGAAAGCACATATACATGTGAAAGTGCCTTTTCCTCCATAAAATACATAAAAAATAAGAACAGAAGTAACCTTACCGATTCTTTCTTACGTCATCTTATGAGAGTTTGTACAACTGAACTGGAGGTGGACATTTCTTCATTGATGGATGAAGTCGATCGACCACAGTCCTCACACTAATTGGATACATCTTTTTCGTTGCTTTTGCAATGTTTGAAAAGTGTTATCAATAAATTTTCCGTTTATAAAAAAATGTAGTTGTTGAGCAATAAAAGAAATAATACTCTTTTTTGTTTTAATTATTTTTATACCTTACTTTATTTTATTACTTGTAACAAAATTATTATATGGCCCGCGACAACACCAAAGGTTTTGGTTTTGGCCCTTGAGGCATTGCAAGTTGGACAACCCTGTTCTAAAGTTTCCTTTTGTAGTTGGTGTATTTATTTTGACTAATATTAGTTAGTCTTTTGTTATTTTTACTTCAGTTACAGTTCCCAACTTTTTAGCCAGTCTTATCATATACAGGAATTGTGTCCCTTAAGATATTATATTTTATTTCTTTATCGTTAGAACCATATACTGTACTATTTCTTTTCCATATTTCTTTACTATGGGGAACCCATTTTTTGTGCGCAAATTAGCATTTTCACTAAGGACATTTATGCTCCTTGTTGTAACAACAATTGTTTCCTTATTTTTGTATATGTCCCATGTTATGGGAGGAATGTATCTGTTCGTCTACTTTCTTCTAGCTTTTAATGTTTTTTTCTGAGTTTCTTGTATATAGCAATGGAAACTCCACTTTTTGCTCTCACAATCAGGAGAAGTATGTGTGGATATTCTACTAAGTAGAGCTTAAGGGGTTAAAATCTACAATACATATACAACGTAGTTATCAATAGCAGTATATAGATAGTCGTATAAAGTATAAAAGTAAAATATTAGGGATGTAATTAAAGCATTTAAAGCATAAAACGGGGTATAGTGCTTGCCGCCGAAGAGTTAACATTGCAGCCTATAACGACGAATATATCGGAAATATGCACATCGCTAAAAAAAAATTAATGACGAATCTAATTCTTAACGAATGATTCTATAAAATTGCCCAATTTTGACTTCTCACACAAAATAACTGATGATGTGTATATCTTTCACACATCTCAAAACCCACAGATATCTCACCTTGTCTATAAAAAACAAATTTTATAAGTTATCATTATCAGACCTACATACAGGCGTGCAGCTTATACATTCCTCCTAATTACACACTGAAAAGCACTGAATTCGAATAAACTTAAATGTTTGGAGATTTTAATACACGCAACAGTATGTGGTGCTACGGGAATATATATGGTAGAGCTAAAATAATCTAAAATGTCATTAATAACCTTGATAACTTATTATATACAGGAAATCGTACATACTTCCATATTCAGTCTGAAAGCTTTTCGTCAATAGACTTAAGCTTATATGATCCCAAAATACCCATTACTAACTTGGCACACTCTAGATAGCTAATTCCATAGCAATGATTTTCCCATTATCATTACTAACAATGCAATTAAATTGAAATATACAAAAACTAGATGGAAAATATCAGATACTAATTAAAAACTCTATAAACCAACTGTAAAAGGATGCACAGATATACTTAAATATCAAAATAACACGGACGAAGACATAAAACAACTTAACCATTGCATAGGGTGTTCTGCATAGGACTATATCAGCAAAAAACGGATGTGGCAGTCCAGTGGAACTGCCGGTAGAAGTTATACTTTTATACACGCGTTCGCCGTTAAAAATTTATATGGGAGTCAATCTGCACAATCATTATATATGTAATGCTATAGGTAAGAGAGAGCAGAAAGAGAAAAATAATTAGTTATATAGGTATATGGTGCATTGTTTGCTGTATATAAACATTTGACTTGTAATAGGAGTATAGTAAATAAGGGATTGCATCAATATTCTAATGAAAATATATATTTTTATTTTTATATATGTATAAAAGTAGTTAAATGAAAAAAAAAATTTACACATACTCTGCAGTAAAATTCATTGTTTATTTTATTAATAATATAAAAATAACAATACAATAAATACACTGCAACATAATTCAATATAATAATACAACATAAATTAAAATGTAATATTCATAAGTATTTAAAACTGCCAATATACATAACTTACTTTACGAAGATAAAAATAAAAACCAACAACTCGGATTATGTTGTAAATTTTTATTTTATTTTATAATTTAGCATTTGTGCGTATATTACATATATTTAATAAAATTAACGTGAGGTTTTTAAGTATTTCAAAACTAAAAAAGGAAATTCATA